AATTGAATTAAATAAATTATTAAAAGTGTATAATAAATAAATTAATTAAATTAATTATTAAAAGTGAATAATAAATTAATTAATTAAATAAATTATTAAAAATGAAGAATAAATAATTAAATAAAATAAATAATTAGAAGCGAATAATCAATAAATAAATTGAATAAGTTATTATAATTGAAAAATAGATAAATAAGTTTATTAAGGCGGTTTAAGTTTCGATGTGTACGTTATGACGGCCGAGAAGCAACTGACGTGACGTGTGACCATCAAGTGCCTATATGAACCAAAGTTACCCTTACCGAGGTCAAACGAACATTCCCGAGCTCAACCGATTTTCCAAACATTCGCGAATCTTTTATAATACCTATTACATAGTTTATTGCCAATATATGCTTCGTATAATTTGCACTAGCAATATATACACTAATTTACATATGTACAATTATTTCTTCATACAAAAAGACTGTTTACTTCCTCGTAACAGTAGTTTTCAACATATTAAGTGCCTAACACAACGTTTTAACGTTAAAAATAGAAAATAATAGCTAAAAATGATATTAATCAAATGGACCCTGGATTGACTAACAAAAATAAAACGTAGAAAATTTTACATGAATAAGAGATAGTCATATAAAAATGTACCGGTAGTTGGTACAATTTTAACCGGTTCAATGGACTGCGGAGGATCCCTGAGACCGACTTCATTGTTGACCAAGGTCCTGATCAGGTACATGTGATTCTCGTTTCATATCACTTTGCATTTCATACGTAATCCGCATTATTATTTATTAATATTATTATTAACGATACCATATTTTTCACTTCTCTCCCGACCAAGAAATACGAGCATCTTAAAGAGAAGGGGAACACAGGTTCATTTTTCTTCCATAGCGAAATATAGGTACTTTATCGAAAACGTGGAGTGCCGGAAATGAAGGCAAATGGCCGCGACGCGGCTAGAAAAATTTACAAGCTTCATTCCCGTGCACTTTGTCAACGTCCTTTTACGAGTCCTGTCTTTCATCGATCTGTCTACCCACCAGAAGAAAGAAGCCCACGTTACACCTTTTTATCGTCACTTTCTCCTCGATACAAAGAAACTCGCGAAAGTTTCCATTCTCGCGATTCTGTGAATCCATAAATTTGACAAAGCAAATCCAAATCGAAGCTCGTTACGAGGCTTCTTGAAGTATCACAGGCGATAAATTCTCCTCCTGAAGCAAATTTTGAAAATAATTTTATAATCAATTTAATAGCAATAAAATTTACAATCTGGGAAATTGAATTTCTATCTTGAGAAGTACCAAAGTATCGAAGCTACCAAAATTACTTCCCAAAGATAATTTACAAAATAAAATTTCCAATACCATGTGGAATATTATGTAAAATTTATTCACATTTGTAATTATCGTAGTAATAGATATATGTTATTAAAGTAAAACTGTACAAAGGAATCGGTTGATTGAACAGTGGTATATACAGGGTTTCCCAGCAATGGTAGTACAATCGTGAAAGAGGTGATTCTACACGCAGAAACGAATCGATATACCAGGAAAAAGAACTTAAAACAATTCTGAACAACTCTCATCGCGAGTTCTTTCAACCTCTCGCTACCAAGCTCAACCCGACACCACTTTCTCGAGAGGATCGTACCAGTTTTCTCCAATTTTGCTTAACCCTTTTGCTACAATGGGCATCGCTGTGATGTCTCTCTCGTAGAACGAAGCAACGTGTCAAAGATGGTAATATTACGATAGTGCAGTCATTAGTATTCTATCTTTTGACGCAAATGTTTCGAAGAAAAATAGAAAAGGAAAAACTGACCATCGCAATAGAGCTTGCAATACTTTGCGAAGAAAACTAAGAGGAACGGTAGCACTTGCCTTAATTTTTTACTCAATTTATGTGACTATAGGTGACTATGGTCACCTGTCGTGTGTAGATGGCGTCTTGTGGTCGATGACTATAGTCACCCGTAGTAACGAAAGGGTTAAAACCACCCTCACCCCTTTGCCGAGAATATCGCAGACCTATCTGTGATCTATTCGTCGACGAATTTTCTTGATAGATCTGATTTATCTCTTATCCACTTGCTTTCGTTTTCATCCTCTTTTTTTCATAGGCAAATGATCTCCTATTTCTTCTTGGGTCCTCTTGGGTCTTAACTACTTGCGGGGGTAAGAAATTCACAAACGCGTGTGCCAGAACAATCCAGTGTTTCTGTGACAATTGTCTAACGACGTGTGTACCACGTCGTTGGGGATTCTGTGACGAAAGCATTACGACGTGCGTGACACGTCTTTCCAGCGCAAGTGGTTAAGATGCTCCATTATTTTTGCTATTTTCTACCTTGGAATATTTAACCACTTGCGCTATCAATAAACTCACAGACGCGTGTGCCAGAACGGTCCAATGTTTCTGTGACAATTGCCTGACGACGTGTATACCACGTCGTTAGCGATTCTGTAACAAAAGCATTACGACGTGCGTGGCACGTCTTTCCAGCGCAAGTGGTTAATCAGTTTCTTCGCGAATTTATCAGTTAAGGTTTCGAAGTATTCATGGGAAATGAAACGAATGATTTGATCGTTCCAGTTGCAGTGGTGGTGGCATTCTTCATCTGTTGGGCGCCGTTCCACGCCCAAAGGCTGTTGGCTGTCTACGCGCAGAGCAGCAGGGCCAAACCGGAGGACGCGTTAGCAATAGTGTACACCATCCTTACGTACGTGTCAGGGGTGTTTTATTACCTCTCAACGACAGTGAATCCGCTGCTCTACAACATCATGTCCAACAAATTTAGGGAGGCTTTCAAGGTAAGTTATCACATGAGAATTTCTAATCGAAACTTCCTGTCAACGAACTTGTTCCGATTGCCAATCACCTCCCAGGAATAGCACGCGATAAACGATCTCCAAGTGTCTTCGCGAATGTACATCGAACGAGGACTCGTGGAAATCGAGGTTAGAATCGTGGAGAATTTTCTTTCATTCGAAATTAGCTGCATGAGAAAAATTTATTTAATCGCGTGTTCAATTAAAGATGAAATAAATTAATGACGATATTGCAAATTAAGTCGAATTATCCGCTCGTAATCGCGAAAAAGGGAAAGAATTCGATTTTATTCTCGATAATCTCATTATCCACGATATATCTACAATATCCTTTCTTGATATAATCGACTCTACCCTTTGAACTTCATGAAACAACCAGGATTATACTGTTTCTCGTTCCAACTAATAAATGAACACCGATAAAAGAGAAATAATATTTATTTATAAAAGAGGAAATTTTTAAAGTTAAGAACCTATACTGATATTAACAGAAAAGCACTAGATTGTCAACTGAAAATTTGCTAGAAAGGATCCACAGCAAAAATTAAATTAAATTAAGATAACTATCATGAACAGAACTATCTTAACGCTAGGTTTACGGATGCTATCTGTATACCTATTTCTACGGACACCTGTCAGATTTACAGATAAAGGAAACCACGTGTTTTTCTTTTTTTAACGATTAGTTTGATTTAAAAACAATTACAATATTAACAGTCTTAATATAAATTAACTAAATCTGTTACTGTCGTATAATTGAAGCAATCCATCCGTCAAATTGCCGAGTTTCGTAAATCTAACGTTGAGGATGTGAAAATTAGGGAATGAAAATTAAAGTACACAATGAAATACAAAGACAAAACCACCAATATAACGAACGAGTCCGACAGAGTGCGTTAAACAAACTTAAGTCAACTTTCAGTCGATGCTGCCGAATCACTGCGGCCGGAAGTGGTCCTCCCGGAAGTCATCAGTGCCCCGACGTCCCACCTACAGCAGCCTGTCGCGGTACCCGCGGTCCACGCTCAGGCAGACGGATGATCGTCAGAATTCGCCGTCAATATCCGTCAGTGACGACCAACAAAAGCTGACCGGCGCCGTTCGAACGGCGAATAAGTCGGAACTGAACGGATTGACCGAGCTGAAGGATCACGGGCAAAGCCGATTGGACAAGACCGTGAGCAAGATGAACAATCGGGAATACGGGAGGAACATGTCCAGGGGGTCGAATTCGAGTCAGTTCACCCTGATGTCGTCCTTCAGCAAGAGCTTCAACGAGGGGAACAACAACGTCGCCGCGACCTACGTGAACGAGTGCCTGTTGAACGTCCAGAGACCCTCCAAGGCTGTCAGGCTTGGTAAGAATCTTTCTACGATGGAATTTTGGTAACTGTGGCATCATTCTCACCCTCGCTGCTAGATAGATTCCACGGTCGAGGAGGTTCGAGAATTTTCAAGTACTCGATAACCCCCCAGTTTCCTATGTATAGAATTTCTAAACTTTCCAATAGTATCCCTGTCTAAGCCAGGGCCTGCTAGGTAGCCTTACCGATGAGTCCACTAGCAGACTCAGAACGAAATTGCATCCCCTTTCTTTTTCTTTCGTCCCTTCTAGCACCACAGTAACACCGAGGATACCTTCCCTATTTTTCCTCAGAAGCTACCCTGATTCCGATCATCGAAAATATTGCAGACCCATCGGCATTATTTTATTATGAAATAAATATAAGTATTTGACAATGCTGACAGAAAAAAGGGGGTTGAAGCTGTATTAAGGTAAGTTTGCTCTTTTGCATCAACTTCAAGAGAACTAGAGTATCTCGAAAAGGGATGACGCGTTCTTAACCACTTGCGCTACGATTTAACTTTCAGTTATCGTGCCGTGCTCTAGAACATAACATGTGGTAAGGCGTTACATTGAGGCCGCACCGCGTCTGCGAGTTAACTATTAGCCGACGTGACGGACACGTCGTTTTTGTTTCTGCGATAAATGCCTATCGACGTGGTATACACGTTGTTGGCGACTTTGGAACAAAAGCATCTCGTCGTGAGTGGCACGTCTTTATAGCGCAAGTGGTTAAATGGAACTTGACTGTTCCGTCGACGAAGATTTCCCGAATGAGTCTGATTTTCGCCCTGCCCACTCACCCCTCTTCCGTTTGAGGTCCTTTAGCCCACGATACTACATATAGCTATTAACAATGAGACTAGTTCGACGTGACGGACACGTCGTTTTTGTTTCTGCGATAAATGCCTATCGACGTGGTATACACGTTGCTGGCGACTTTGGAACAAAAGCATCTCGTCGTGCGTGACACGTTTTTATAGCGCAAGTGGTTAAATGGAACTTGACTGTTCCGTCGAATCGTGGGTATTCGCGTATGCAGTAAGGTAATAATATAAAGTAACTAAGCAGAGGATCTTGGAGTGAACACGTGCTTGTTGCTTTGCTTCCTGAATGAAACTGGTAAAGCACAGGAGGAAGGTCCTTATATATTGTTTCCTGCAACGTAACTCGCAGTCCTTTGTCCCGTGCCACTCGCTATAGACACTAGGATTCTTATCCAAGTGGAACATCTGCTATTCGTCCTCTATCGTTGCCCTCCAACCATAATCTTGGTCTATTTAAAGAGTAGACAGGGCTCGGGATTTAGATGGACATCGGACAATAAAAGCTTGGGAAAGTCTTCAATGTGTCACGCAGTGTCGACCTCTCGGGCAACCGTTGAGGGTGAGGTGGCCCCAGACATAGACTCACCCCTTGATTTTTGGCTGGCGTGACGTAAATAGACCCGAACGAAATCCGTAATGCGACCCACCCTGACTAGAGAAGGGTGAATGTGATAAAGAGGCAGTTGCGGTTCTCACGGTTAGAATTATTCGGGAAGATTAGCGAGACGTTGAAGAGAATCGACCAGTTAGGCCCCTATTCTACGATTTCGTTCTAGATTTACCAGTGATGCACATCCCAAGCCTATATATCGGTAATTGCAAAGACAACGAAGCTTATATCAATCCTTACATTCGGATTTTGATAACAGTCGGATTTGCTCGTTGAAGACTTTGCCAGGGCAGTTAGGAATCCTAGCTTAAGCTAGGTCCGATTATTTTGGGAGAAAAGTGTGTTTTCGCGTGCACATAAACGATGCCACCGGCGAGCTGTGTTTCTTCCTGGTAATTTACTTAGGGCAAGATTTCTGGGTATCTGGTGATTTGTTGACCAGGATGTCTAAATATCTCTTTAGCTTCTCGAAATGGGTCGTGGATCGATGATAGAGTATTAAGGGTAACTTGCGGGCACTGCATATTTAAGGAGTTTATTTAAGATCGTGGACCTTTGGCTAATGTCTGCCATCGTCGTTCGTGATCGATGTGACGTTAATGTAATAACGAGCTGATTTTTCTTCTCCCAAACAGGGATACTTGCCGAGAGATTGAGACTGGGAACCAAAGGGCTGTTCTCACCGCAACAAAAGGTCGCGACCAGTCCACCCCTGAAACCGGAAGCCGCGACAGCCCTGCCGCCCCGGTTCCACAGTCACCCGAGTATCGAGAGCTCGAACACTATCAGCAACTCCAGCCTGCAGGACTATGACGAGACGGAGTTCAGTGGCACGGAATTGGCTCGATACATGGGCGAATTGAACTGCGACTTAATCGCCTAACATTCGCCCCCTGGGGAACGTGAACTCCTCTCTGTCGAATTGACGTAGCATAAGTACTTAATAAGGTTGAGCCTAGATCGTTGAGTTATCTCGAGGAGATTGAGAATTTTTGAGTCGCTGAAAGGCGAAGATTTGTATACTCGAAGACCTGAGAAACGAAGGCTTCGAAGCGTGAACAAGAGGAATTAACTATCTGTGTTTAAGAGACAGTGTGAGCCTTAAATTGTATCTGAACAGTGGGAAACCTGGCGAGCAGGATGATATAAATATTATTGTTATGACGAAACGAGAATCATCGCAAACGTTGAAGAAAATATCTACGTTCACCGAAATTCCATATTATCGTTTAAAATGAGCAATTCTGTTCGGTTTTCATGCCATTTGTCCATTTCCATGTGCGCGAAAATTCAATTCTCGGCGATGAGAAGCTATCAGAAGGCAGATGATCATGGACTATCTTGCGATTATCAATGTATAAAGAAGTTAGATAGGATTGTATAAATAGTATAAATAATATCCTAAAAACATGACTGTGTTACATAATTTAATAGTGACAGTCATAAGAGGCCAAGTTCATTAACAGTCGCGAAATGTCATTAAAATATTATCATTAGTCGATCAAGGTTATTTAAATGTCACGAGCGATCATGAGGGTCATATTATCGATAGTCAAGGTTATAGTAATCTTACGATTGACGGTTAGGATTATTTGAAGATCACAGGAGATCACCAAGGTTGTGACATTATTGGTAAAGGTCATTCGAAGGTTACAAAGGATCACAGAGATAGTGACACATCGTGTCATTGACAGCACAGCTCATTTTAAGGTCATAGGAAGTCGTGTCATAGATGATGATAGTTACTAGAAGGTCACGAGAATCGTCGAGACATTGTCAATATCAATTATGATCTTTTATAAGTCAATTTATCTAAGTCTCGTCATGATCTTTTAAAATGAACTGCTCAGATTCAGTGACTACCTTTGAAACAATTGAATCTCTCAAGCAAGAGATATAGGTAGTCGTGATCACGTTAAGTTTACATAGTTGTTCGTTTCAAGTAACAGTTTTCTCTTCTTGGAAGTTATGCAAAATTAACTATACTATCCGTGATCATTCGTGAAAGTTAAGGTCGTTACTGTCGTTCACCGTGAAGTACTTACGCTCATTACGCTTTGTATCATATATCCTAACACTTATCCTCACTGAGAATATGTACCCACCTCATACGTCAGGGATCAGAATCGTAGAGGAACGATTCTTCAATAAACGTAAACGTTATTTATTTTTGTACTTCCATCATACATAACAATGCGTGCAATGTGCCCACTCCCTTTGCCTGTACGTTCGTGTAAATGTAACGCGGAGTTTGTATCGAACATGATAGAATGTGAAACGTGTGCGAGTAACTGATGCGAAAAGAATAAATCAGTCAGTGGATCGTGCAGAATCTTTGGAAAGTTATTTGAGAATCGCACGAGTAGAGTCTTCATAGGATTTAAATTACAGTCTTGGGACGACTCTCCAGATATGATTTGATGTTGGGCAGCGACCTGACTTTCTCCACCAACTTCTTCAGCTCAGGATGGTCTTTGTTCACGTCGTGCTGCAGCATTCCTGACAGGGTCTCTGACTGTGCAGCATAGTGAAGGTCTGCCCACGTCAGCTGTAACCAGGATCGAAAGTTTATATCAGAAACTGACAGAAGACTATACGGTCTTCTTAAAGAATCGAATTAAGGATGTAACTAGCACTGTAACTACCAAACGACTGGTTCCAAATATTTTATTTTTACGACTATCGAGGATGCGAAGATACTTTTGACAAAATTAGCATCGAGTTTTATTTATACAAAAACCTAATTATATATATATTTATTTGTCTTTGTTATGATACTTGAATTATTATCACTTGTGTATAGTATATTCAGCTAGACAGGTCGGTAGTTCTGGTGTTAAGGATACCTAAATACTGAGAATATTTTTATCCTGAATTAACACTAACTCTACCAGGACCTAATAAAATTATAAAAATTCTGGAATTTATTCTGACATTATTTTCTACCATTATTACTACTTTTTTAAGAAAGATAAAAATTGGTTGACGATGGTAGATTCGATTAAATAATAATTACAAATTTTTGAGGAAGAAATAAGAACGATTACCTTTCCACCAACAAAGTGTCCACCGTTCTTCTTCACCTGTTCCTCCAACTTGTCAAGGTACGAAGGGAACTTGGCACTGACCCCAGCCTTGAATTTCTCCTTCAGTGCAGGATCTTTTTCCCAGTGGTGTTGCGCAAGAGCTATAAATGATCGAAATCATGAAATATCGCGATTAAGGTGCGAGTACACTGTTATGGTCCGATTGGAAGGAGCGGACACGAATAACAGGATGACGAAGCATATCTCAGCGTGACGTGGTGAAATACCTACCCAATCTCAACTCGTCGATGGTGTCGATGGTGGCATCGATTTGATAAGCTTCCTCGTCGTTGGAACCGACCAGATTGTTCTTCCTTGCCAGGTACCGACCAATGGACTTCGATTGATGGTACTTTTTACCATCGATTTCCAACACGGGTACTTGACCCATTGGCATACCTGGAAAAAATTGGCTCGATTAATCTTTCGATACGAGAGAAATTCAAAATGAGTTTTGAAATCTTTTATATTCCCTTTTTTCATATTTCTAAGTTTATATTAATATAACCCTAATAAAATAGGAATGGACTTTAACTCTTCAAATATGACTTTTTTGCTTTCTAAAAAATACCAATATTTTGTGTAAACTCTTTTATATTTCCTTTTTTCTTATTTTCAAGTTCATATTAATTCCATATGTTTCCACAAAATAGAAATGGACTTTAGTTCCTCAGGTATGACTTTTTATTGCTTTCCACACGACTGGTATTTTATGTAATATACCAAAAATACCAATATTTTGTGTAACCTCTTTTATATTTCCTTTTTTCATATTTTCAAGTTCATATTAATTCCATGTTTCCATAAAATAGGAATGGACTTTAATTCTTCAGGTATGATTTTTTACTACTTTCCACACGATTGGTATTTCGTGTAATATACCAAAAAATACCAATATTTTGTGTAAACTCTTTTATATTTCCTTTTTTCTTATTTTCAAGTTCATATTAATTCCATATGTTTCCATAAAATAGGAATGGACTTTAGCTCTTCAGGTATAATTTTTTATTGCTTTTCATGCGATTGGTATTTTATATAATATACCAAAAAATACCAATATTTTGTGTAACCTCTTTTATATTTCCTTTTTTCATATTTTCAAGTTCATATTAATTCCATATGTTTCCATAAAATAGAAATGGACTTTAACCCTTCAGAAAATCTTCAAATATGATTTTTGATTGCCTTCCACCCGATTGGTATTTTGTGTAATATACCAATCGCGTGTATATCTCTTTAAATATGCAATTAGTTAATAGCATTTTTGTTTAATACAGCGCAATGGATTTTGAAATGAATGTGCATGGGTTTGAAAAGTGTCTTTACCAGATTTCACTGCCGACCATTCCTCAGGTGTCAATCTCTGATCCTCGAACTTAATGCCACTTTGGTGTAGGAGGTATCTGATTGGCTCAGCAAGGCCGGTGATGTTGAAGTAAGTCAACTTGTAGTTGGACATTTCCTGTGGTTATTAAAAAGAAGGAATGTTTGAATTTTTGCGACGTTAATCAATGCGAGGTTCTTAAGTCTAATGCAATGCTGTTAGCTTGGTAATTTTATCTCGATAACATCGTAGATTACAATGCTATTGCGTACGCGATATCTTTTCATCGAGAATCACACGGTAAACTAAATACATAACCATTCATTGCACGCTGTAATGCTAAACTGGTCACTGATTATACGATGTTACACGCTCAAGGTAAACATGGAATATTATAGTTGGATGAATTCTGGCATAACATTACGGTAATTCTGCATTTCATTCGCATTAAATTCGCACTAAATCTACTTCGTGGACATTGCAAAAATCTGAATGAAACGTTTAAGAAAAATCGTGAACTTGGAAAATTTGGGAACAGGGAAATTTACAAATTTTACGATATTTTTCAAGAATCTTCAAAGAAAAAGTTTTTAAACGAAATGTTAAAAACTTGGACGTTCTAATATTCGGAAGGTTCCACATTTTTTAATTTCAAAACTTCGGAATTAAAAAATTAAAAAATTTCAAGGTTTCGTAGTTACGAAATTACAAAGTTTCCAAGCTTCCAAGTTACAGAGGTAAAATACTTAGAAATAAAAAAATTTGTAATGCGAAACTCAAGAGTGGGATTAGAGACGTCGAATGTGCCTTTAAATCAAAGCTTCGGTATTATCAAAAGAAGTTCTCAGTCACGGTTATTCGAACCAGATGTTACTACTTTAAACAAATTCTCGTCTATTACTAACGAGAACCGCCTGTCTCGTAATTGAAACAAGAATGTTCCAAAGGAAGCTCGACTACCTAGCAATTTTCGTTCCATTCTTGCGAAGAATTTCGCGTTTAATAGCCATGACATTGAAGATGATTAGCGACACCAGAGTTCGCGATTTCTAACGTTAGTTCCATTAATCGCGTTGATCGCTTGTAGCGATTAACCGGTTAATAAAATTGGCTTTATTACACTAACACTGCTGCCGGTATACCAACACGTTAACAAATAGAAAACTCGAAAAACATTATAAACTACACGTGATACCGATCTATATCCTCGATGATTCTACTCGATCAAAAAACGTTTGGACAAATAATCATAATCATTTCATAATCATTAAACTAACTCACTTCTTAAAAAATTCTGATTTAGAAATAATTTTCAAAATAATTTCTTCCCTTCTAGAACCACTGACGAATACTAACTAAAATAAGCTATGTTTACTTTATTGACTTATAGTCTTGATAATTGATTTTTATTTTATAATTATACATTATTCTCCGTAGTTTCATTTATATTTCTCAAAACCGGCTAATAATTCGAAATCTGACGTTTTTAGTGTTTTAATTACGTCAAAGAAATTTAGCAAACGTTAAATGGAAAAAGATCGTAAATTTAAATTAGGAACGAAAAGAAGAAATAGAACAAGAACGCTGGAAAACGTAATGAAATTTTATTAAGTACGAAACAGTTGAGAATTTTGAAAAACTCGGTTGAACTTACGAAAATTTGTGTTAGGACGTTTGGATAGACTAGATGTGACGATCTCTCACGAGTAACTGCTTCTTCGTGACCAGTCAGGAGCTTCATATACTCTTTGGGCTCCACCAACTGTCTCACTCCCCCACCATCTTGTTTCGCATCGATGTGATAAACAGTGACGGTATGTGTGCTAGAATCAACTAGAATTCCTTGATAGACTAACATCCTTTCTGGCAGAGCTTTGCTAATAAGTAAATCACCTCGTAATGGGTGCGATGAAAAATAAGTCTATGACCTGAACCATCTACTGGGGCGTTGAGTGACACGTGGGTTACGATTACCAACGATATTTATCGTAATTACACTGTTTAGCGTTGCGAAGGGACGACCTCTGTTTCGAAGGGTCGATAAGCCTCGCATTCTCCGACACGGTTGAATCCTGTGCCAGGCTGAGAACCATTTTGGAGAAAGCGGTGCGCAAAATGGCCACTGTCCTAAACTGCATCGATCGTATCAATTCTCCCTGTCGATTTAATCGAAAATTCTTACAATTATTTCCATTGATAATCGAATTTTGTTAACATAGAATATTGCATGAGATCTGTCATACCTCGATGATGTGCCAGAAATTTCTGTACCAACACAGTTTATCGTGTCAAACCGTTGGTCTTCTGGCACGTCCGAATTCTGCAAGTCATGGAGATCTCTAGAGACCGATGACTCGTTTCATTGTTGCACAATTTGCGTTACAGAGAAAATTGTCAGCAAATGTTTCCATGGGAGATTGTTTAAGCTTCGTGGAAGATTTCGGATGTCAAAATGCAAACCTGAAAGTATAATTTTATTTTAAATTTCGTGGGAATATAAAAAAATTTTAATTATTTATTTAAACTGTTCATTCTAAACTGTTCTAAATTGATTATTTTGATTCTAAATGATATTCTAATTATTCGTTTTCCGAGAGAAATGTATAAATAGGTAAATAAATTGAATTTCTAATGATCATTGCAATCGGTCCTAATATATGGCGAATTTTCAAAAATTTTATGAAAATATCAACAACAAATTTGAACAGTCATTCTCGCGTAACCCGATTCCAATTTTATCATTCTGTGATTACATTTACGATATTATCTATGTATGTATGACTCAAGCTCAGTAAACAGTAGAATACAAGTGAACAGATATATCGGTAGATATTATTTAATATCGATTGTGTAATTCTAGAAATCAATGTCTAGGTAAAATCAAAATACTTCGAGAACCGTCTAAATTGCAACGTAATATATATATAAAAATAAAAATAAAAATAAAATATGAAAGACAAAAAGGAAAATATAAAAATAAACTGTATGTGAATAACAAAGAAAATTGTTAAACAGCAAAATGAGATAAAGAAATTAGAGCATTGGTTTAGACAGCATAATTTAGAAATTTTTTCGATAAATTTTTGGACCAGTTCATTGGCTTTGATCGATATCTCAGACCTTAATTTTAATAATTATTTCAATAGATAATAGCGTAAAAAAATAAAATGTATTAAAATAATCGAAAATATTTGTTTTGTTGAAAATTCATTAGCTTTATTGGTCCCTAGTTTTAATAACCAATTGGCAATTACTTATCGGTAGTTTCTAGTGATTAATGTATGAATTTCATGTTTCGGTGTATAAATCGCTTAGAGTTTGATAAAACGAGATTAAACGATCAGTTTCTTTTTCTATTTTGGTTTTATTTCTTATTGTTGTCCATTTTTAATGTCAATTACGTATGGTAATGAATTATAAAGTTGTATAATTAATTTTGCAATCATGTTTCCTTTCGTGCGGATGTTGATACGAGAGATCAATGATTAATAAATGAACAAAAAATCGAAGATTTGAAGTTAATTTTCAATAAAAATTCGAACAATTATAAAGACTATTAAGAACATTGATTTATATATGGAAAGTTGAAAGCTTGTCAAGTTAAAGAACTGGATTACAAAACTACCTGTTGTATTCTTTCTCCTTTATAAAATGCAAATAACACCACATAAGACAGACTAAACATCTTTAGACAGATTGTGTTTGTAGCTAGTAACAAATCTAACAGGTAATTTTAGACGTGACTCTATCTTGTTTGTTGCGGGAGAGTTCTCTCATGGAATCAACGAAATACTCGACCCCAACATGATTGCGAAATAATAACGTTATCGACTCGATAACAGGCTTGTTTTTGCACGATTTCAAGTGTATAAATTAGTACTTATTTAATTAGTTAACAAGTCAAATTTGATTGACCTATATATATATTTTTTTATAAATATTCGTAATGTCTTTAATGAAAATTAAGTGTTTATGTGTATTTACCACTGTGATATCTTCTTTTCATAGCCAACATTTATCAAGATACAATATTTTTTAATAAAAATACAATATTATCAAGGAAGATATACGATTTCAAATATCACCTATAAAGACGATAGTTAATACAATAGTTTCTTTATTATTTCTGTAATACAAAAGTACATAGTTCGAAGGGTATATAATCTCTGTATGTTACTGTAGAAATACACAAATATAATTCTCTATCGTAGTGAATAACGATACGATCTAATTACTTGGCAAAGATGTCGCTAATAACTGAAACTAATGCGTGTTAAAAGCGATCTATATATTCCATGCATACAAGGGCATTCATCAATACGATCTACCCTTCTTGCCACCGAACTCAGATCGCGAGTTTAGACTGCTTGCAAAACCATAAGCAATTGAGAAATGAAAATTTAGGCGTCAGTTTTTGGGCGCTTTTCAACCCAACTCTTGATAGCAGGTAGATTGAGAACCTTGTCTTTCAGCTGCTTCAGATTCTCATACTTTTCAATAAGATCAGAGTTATACATGAAATTCAAATAGTCGAGTATAGCAACAAATGTCAAATCAGCCCAGGTAAGAGCACCACCGACAAAGTAACCACCATTGTTCTTCACTTGAGCATCCAAACGTGCCAGAACATCCGGAACCACCTCCTTAGCGACTTTGAGTTTTGCAGCTTTGGTTTCTGCATTTTGTTCATAGTGGTAGGCAGCAAGTTCTGAAAAACAATTTTTCTTATCTAGCGATCATTCTTATCTGGCGATAATAGCTATCATAATTCAACTAATTTGCATAAGTAATATGCAAAATCTAAGCCTGAATTAAAATATAACTCTAATCCTCTTTGGTTCTTTCTTTTCTGTTGTCATACATATATTTTTTGATCAACGTTGCCAACTGAGTTGAGAAAATTCCTATAAGTATTATATAGTTGATACTTACTTGCACGAATATCATGGATAGTATCAACAGTACTATCAATTTCAAGGGCTTGCCAATCATCTTTTCCAGCTAAATCACATTGTTTAGCCAAATAACGGCAAATAGCTACAGACTGAGCAACTTTCTTTCCATCAACCTCAAGGACTGGAGCTTGGCCATAAGGAGTAGCTAAAAATATATAATAAATAAAATGAAAAATTCTATACCTAATAATCAATAATACATTTCAAACATATTAAAAAGTTTAAAAATTCTGAATCCTAATCCAAAATTTCATGTGACTAAGTGCAATTTATTAATTTTCCATCTATTTATCATAACATATAATATTGGTGCATAAATATCTATAGCTGTTTTTTATCATCAACTCTAAAGAAGCAATTTTAGTTTATTGATAATTTATCAATGAACAAAGGGCATTGTCTCCTTAACAATGCCTATTGATCTCTAACATATCTTATGAAGTAGTAAAAAATGTAAACACTGATCTTCATAATACTTTCCATAAATATCTTTTATATTATTTTGTAAACAATGGAAAATAAGATATAAAATTATGAAAAATAGAATTTGTTTAAAGTTTAAACTTACTAGGTTTTATCTTTGGCCAGTCCTCAGTTGTGAAGCGATCATCCTCAAATGGAATACCAGCATAGCTAAAGAGAAAACGGATTGGTTCACCCAATCCTTTAACCGGGAAATAAGTCAATTTGTAGGAAGGCATCTTGCTATATGAACAAAACGCATAAAGTGAAAAAAAATAGAATTATTAATACCACAGATTATGATAAAGTAAATTTTAATTATGAGATAGAATTATTCAAACAGGTAATACAGAAATATATGATATTTTTAACAGAAATTAATTTAATTTTTGAACTTAAATATTAGTAACCTAACAAATACTATCATTTGAATATAAAATATGAATATCAGATATAAATGTAAAAAAGAAAATTTTGTTTAAAAAAATTAATATATAAATTTGTGTCAAAAATTTCGGTAAATTATAATCTAAAGCATAAGATGAAAAATGTGACTGATATACAATTCCGAAATTAACACAATTTTTTGATATAGATATACAGGAAATTAATGAAAAAAAAATATCACAAATACAAATATCTCTTTGGCAATGAGGATTATATTCATACAATCGTATTTTATAGTATTAATTTAACCATATGTTTCTAGAATGTTCAAGACCTCTCAATAGTAATTTAGTACTATTCTTAGTTAAACGTAAGTTTTCGTAACCACAAAACCTTCAACACAAGGTTGATCTCACTGCAATTAAGAACAGTTTTTCTAGAAGCATACGCAAATTTACAATTCAGTTATAGATTTAGTAACATCGACTTTTTTAAACCATTTTCAAAATAGTTTCTGTTAGCCGACTACACCAGAGGTATCAAATTTATAAAGGAAACTTTTATATATATATTATTTAATCACAACAAAAAGAAATACAGATACTTAATGTACGCATAAATGTATAACAGAAAAGGAGCTTACAATTTATAATAATTACTTACTTACAACTTCTTTTTCAATTCGGCAGATAATACAAGGACAAAGCACTTCCAAGCCGGTCAACGGAAAAGCATTATTATGACGAAACCAAGCCTTCAGATTCCTATATATTCTCTCCTATCGTACCTACGTAACTGCTATCCTATTGGTGGAAATGTGTTGAGTGCCAAACGATGCTAACGCAGAAACATCCAGAAGAATCAGTTGAACCTATTATAATCTAGCGTTAATAAGATTTGATGAGAAAAATTTGAAATTATTTGCAACTTAGAAAATATAATTTGTTCAACAAAACGTAATAAAAGTAAAATATTAAACGGGAAAAGATTTATAAAGAAATATAATTCATTGATTAGTATTTATAAACTAGAGCAGCACCATCGGATACAACGGTGAACTACAAAAAAACATTAACGCGCGAAGATTTGAAAGACATAAGAGGGTATAATGCATATTTTGATCAAATGACATTAATTTTAGAATAATCACAAGAAAGACGTATTCTAGAGATAAAAATATCCATAAAAGTGAAGATAGGAAAGCAGCGAATATACATAAATCTAGTATTTCCATTTTATTGATTTGTACAAATAAAATTTATGCATTTATGCAAAATAAAATTTCTAATGTTAATTTAGGAGATTAAAATATCAGTAACGTCATGTGAAAATTACTATTTTCATCAATTATAATCGTATATAACGTTTGGTAAATATTTTTTATCATAATCGCTTTCTTATCGGCAGTGGTTAAGTGTTGCTGTCGATAAATAAAACCGAAAGATTAGACAGTTGCAAGATACGATAAATATACTACGATTAAAATGATTTTTTCTACATATTAAAGAAGTGCAAAAAATTATTCGATAAGAGAAGTAATATTAAAACTATTAATGTAAAGATACAAGCAATTGGTGAAAAAAATAATGCAATACTACTCGTTATTTATACGAGGTTATTATTACACTGCATCAGTCGATAGCTTTGCAATTACAACGATTCAATACATATTTAATCGTCTTTCGACGCTTAATCGATAACATTCAGTTAGAACTCTGCATTGACTAAAGATATCGTGACGATCGGAAATATTGATTTATCGATCGATTCTCTCATTTTAAAGTTCACTTCATTGTTCACACAAATCGCGCCGCGTGTGTCAATCGAATTAATTTACATATATTAACATATCTTAAATCCGTTGTTATCTCCAGAAAATATCATTTTTACACTCGATATTTCAAATAAATAAAAATAATTATCGGAAACCATGAAGAAAGGGAAA